CATGCTCCAGCTTATCAACATTCATTTTGAATTGTGATGCCCAGAACTGGACGCAATATTCCAGGTGAGGCCTGAGCAAAGCAGAATAGAGTGGCACTATTAATTCCCTTGCTCAACTAGACACTATACTCCTATTGATCCAGCTTAGGATCATATTGGCTTTTTTAGCTGCTCCATCACACTGTTGACTCATGTTTAACTTGTGGTCTATTAAGAACCACATATGTTTCAAATAGTAGGTACTTGCTGATTCCAGGTTCTATCCCTACCATCCTCAGTGTGAAAAATGACAAGCAGAAAGCCTGAGGAAAACACTTTCCCAAGACTGGAAAGTTGCTGCTTGCTCCTAGAGAAGCACAGTGTGTTAAAACCAGCTGGACAGTTGGTCTGATTCACTATAACACATCTCCTTATTTGTTTATTTCTTATATATCTATCCTGCCTTTCCTCCAAGGAGTTCAAGGTGGCATAGACACCTCTCTTCCTTCCTACTTTCTCCCACAACAACCTGGTGAGGTAGGTCAGGCTCAAAGAGAGAGTCACTGGGCCCAAAGTAATCTTTGCTCAGTGAGAATTAGAACCTTTGTCTCCTAAGGGTTGAAACTGGGCAAGCCACAAGATGATGTTGGACTGCAACACCTAGCAGTAGCCATTGGTGAGGTATTCTGGGAGCTGCAGTCCAACAACATCTGTAGGGTAGCATAATTCCTGGCCCTACTGTAACCACTATCCCACACTAATTCTTATATATGTAATAGGACAATGAGCTGACAATATTCCCTTACGTGGATGTCTGTTATCTGTTGCATCCTGATAGTTACCTTTTCTGCAGACACAATCTCATGAACAGCACTGTCTTGCAGTGATGAGGTGGATTGCACCTATTAGGACTAAGGGAGTAAAAAATGCAATTATGGGATGCTCCTCTGTCTTTAAAAAAAGCTAATAACTAGCTCATAGAGGGTTAAAAAAATCTTGTCTCAACCAGCTCCTTGATGTGTTCATCTTATTTCTTTTCCTTTTGCACAAAAGACAGCATCAAAAAAGGTGCCTTCCCTTCAAACCACAACACACACACACACACACACTTGCAGCGTGAAGGGGCATAGTACCTGTCTTCTTGTTCTGTGCCTTCAAGTAATTTCTGACTCATGTTCACCCTAAAGCAAAGTTATCACAGCATTTTCTGAGGCTGAGAGTCTGTAACTTGTTCAAGGTCATCCAGTGGTGTTCCATGGCTGAGTGGGGATTTGAACCCTGTTCTCCAGAGTCATGGATTCCAGATTATCAGATGGGGGGGGACCAGGAGTAAAAGGCATATTTCCGGCAAAGTTGTGTGATTGCACTGAAGATTTTCTATCCAGGACGTAGCCGATGAAAATCCAGGAATGGTCCCATGAATGGTTTGTTGCTCAAGCATTCCTGGATATTCATTGGTTAAATCTGGACCATTATCCATTATCACACTACCTCAAACCAAGGATTCCTGGAAGCTGTCATTTTGTTGACTGGGGTACACTCTTCTGTCACAGCTGTGGAAAATTACTTTTTGGACTATTGTTTCCGCAGTCCCAGCCAGGTACTGAGATCTGTAGTCCAAAAAATGGCATTTCCAAACTATTGATATTTACTTATGTATATATCTGTGCACCAGAGTGGACAACACAGAGCTTAGCTTCACTTAGGGGTAAATTTAGGACTTGCATGTACCTTATGAAAACAGAGCAAAACATATTATTTTTTAAAAATTAAAAAGTTTATACTGTATCTAGCTGACTTAGAAATAGATCCAAACCACACTACAGAAATAATCTAGTTTGAGACCTCTTTAACTTCCCTGGCTCAGTGCTAAGAATTGTGGGTTATTGTGGCACCAGAACTCTCTGACAGAGAAGGCTAAATGTCTCACAACACTACAGTTCCCAGAATTCCCTAGCATTGAGCTAGGGCAGTTAAAGCACTCTCAAACTGGATTATTTCTGCAGTGTGGTTTGGATCATAGTACAGAATATAGCACAATGCAGTGCCAGCTTTGGGTAGTGGTTTGAGCATTGTACTATGATTCTGGGAGACCAGGATTCGAATCCCTGCTCACCCATGGGAACCCACTGGGTGACCTTGGGCAAGGTCACACATTCTCAGCCTCAGCGGAAGACAAAGACAAATCCCCTCTGATTTGACTCCAGGCCTTCTCATGACATGGATGCTGTTTTGTTTTTGTTTTAAAGAGTTTTAAACTTTAAATTTTAACAATGCAATATTTTTAATTGTTTGAATTGTTTAATTTTTTAAAAAAACTTTGTATTTTTAATGTTTTAGATCGTTTTAACCTGGACTGTTTTAGACTTGTTAGCCATCTTGACCCCCTGTACTGGGAGGAAGGCGGGATATAAATAAATAGAATAATAGTAATAACAACAACAACAACAACAACCTGAACAAATCTTGCCAGGAAAAACCCATGCTAAGTTCCTCTTAGGATTGCTGTTGAAGGCACACAGTAGCACTACAGAATACAAACCATACGCCCTGACCATGGAAATTTATTACTGAGCCAAGCTTGGCCCAAGACAAATGAAAAATCCAGCCACACATACACACTAACATGCGCTTTAATCCCATTGGGAAGATTTCCTGCATAGACCTCATTGTAAAAACTGGACAAGGCTACTCTTGTACAAGAATTGTTCTTGATGGTCATGTGCTCCATATAATCAGATCTGTTTATCTATGTTATGGGAGGGCAACGTGAAGCCATGAAGATGTTAAGAGACCACAGCTGTTTGCAACCTTAGACAGAATAATCCAATGATAAGGGATTATGGGAGATGCACCTGGAGAGCCGCACAATTCCCACACCTGGTCTTTGTATTTAGGCAGTTTATCCTGTCCTTCCTCCAAGCAGCACGCAGGATAATATACATAGATTGTCCCTTTTCCCGTTTGATCTTCACAACAACCTTGCGAGGTAGGCTAGAATGAGTGATGGCAACTTGCCCAAAGTCATCCAGGGAACTTCAGGTTTGTGAGGGAATTTGAGCTTGGTTCCCCCTAGTCCTAGTCTAACACTCCAGAGCACTGTTATGGCCCTGCCACTTGCAATGGTATATCCAAAATCTCCCACCTGAGTCTGCACCTTAGCTGTGCTTCATGGAAAGGCTACCTCTTCAGTGAATACATCCCCTGCTAAAGCCCAGCGTTTCATCAGAGATTGGCCACACTGTTTCAAGCCTGTCTTCTCATCCCCCATAAGGACTAGAATCTTGCTCTTAAAAAAATAATGAAGAGATGAGGAGATAAAATTCTTGAAACACATGAATCAATTCTCATGCTGATGCTAGTTGCTAAATCAGGAGGGCATGCATTCGTTTTCTCTTAGCCGTGTCCCACAAGGCCACCTGTTCATTAATTTGGTGGAATCCAATGAGGATCAAACCACCAACTCCTTGCTTATACACACCTGCTCAACTGCCTGTCTTATTCCGAGTTCTGTTTCTTAGTCACTCCATAGACATGGAGAGACAGGTCTGGGGGGAAAGTTGGGACACAAATGAAGTTAATAAATGTTTGTCCTCCAGAATTTAATGGGCTGCACTTTTATTGCTTACCATTGGATATGCTGCCTAGGGCTGATGGGAGTTGTTATTCAACAACATCTGGAGAGTCACACATTCTCCATCTCTATAGCAGTGATAGGCCTTTTATACTGCAATCACAGAGAAAAGGATATAATACTTCTTAGTCAGTGAGTGATTAGGATTGAACAGAAGATCCCAAAGTCCTGGCCATCTATCCATAGCATTTAATTGGACGCCAGCACTACATGCATCAACTGGCAGAGCTATCATCACTTACCAAAATAGGCGGATGAAGGATTGTTTTTGATGATTTACTCCTTAACAAAATGATTGTGTCCAGAGTTCTTCTGTGCAAGGGAAGATACAATATTCCCTGAACAATATTTGTTGTTGATAATTGGCATCAAATCATCTTCTACTTACAGCAGAGTTGGGCAAAGTGCAGCCTAAGGGCCCCATGGCCATTTTTGTGTCCACTAGTGCACCCCAGAAGTCATAAAAAGAGGTCTTTGTAAAAACCCAAAACATGACAAAAATGCCCCCTAGAGGCATTTTGGGGCAAAATGTTATTTGTTTATTTATTTGGTAGGAGCTCTGCAGAGGGACGGGATACAAATTATTATTATTATTATTATTATTATTATTATTATTATTATTATTATTATTATTATTATTCGTGCTCCCGCTAAAGGTCTCCAAGGTCTCCTATGAGGCTAATGCAGACCCCTAACCTCCCACGGATGTAGACTCAGGGCCGTGATGTCCTTGATTGAGTCTATACATCTCAAATGTGGTCTACTTCTTTTCTATAACCTTCTACCTTACCAAGCACTATTGTCTTTTCTAGTGAGTCATGCCTTCTCATGATATGGCCAAAGTACAGCAGTCTCAGTTTAGTCATCTTGGCTTCTAGCGAGAGTTCAGGATTGATTTGTTTATTTTTCTTTTTGGAGTCCATGGTATCTGCATAATGCTCCTCCAACACTACATTTCAAATAGGTCTGTTTTCTTCCTATCAGCTTTCTTCACTGTTCAGCTTTCACAATCATACATAGAAGTTGGGAATATAATGACATGGGCAACCCTAACTTTTAATATTTAATGATATATATTTCCATTACAGGGTCTTGTCTAGTTCCTTCATAATTGCCCTTCCAATGTTACTGACTAGGTTAAATTTGTACTAAAGTGGGCCCTTGGGGTTTGGTTCTAGGTTCTAGGATCTTTGGTTCTAGGATCTTGATGCTCAAGTCTGATTATATATTTTTGTTATGTGTCATCAAATCATTTCTGACTTATGGTGACCCTAAGGCAACCCAATCATGGGGTTTTCTTAGCATGTTTCTTCAGAGGGGGTTTGCCATTTCCATCCTCCTAGAGGTAGAGTATGTGACTTGTCCAAGATCATCCAGTGGGGTTCTGTGGCTAAGCAGGGATTCGAACCCTGTTCTCCAGAGTCTCAGTCCAATGCTGAAACCACTACACCACACTGGCTCTGATTATATGTAATGACATAGTAAAATGGTGTCCCTTATTTAAAATGGCAAAATCAAGGTTGTCTTTCTGGAAATTTTAAAAAAAATATCATCAAATTGTGGATGGTGGAATCCATGGATGCAGAGGGCCAACTGTATATAGATTATATTGTGGAACCCCATCTCTGCCTTGAGCCAAGGACTGAATGTAAACACTCTGGTTCCTTATTTTAATTGCGTGGCAACAATACCTTCTGGGTTAATTAAAACCACCAATGTGTATATGTGTTCAGTGTTTGCTATGAGAGTAACATCATACTGTTAAAGGATTAGGCATATTGTGAGCATTGACTATGCAAGATTGTGGTGGTCACAGGCCCTCGTATGAACAGCAAATGCAAATGCACTGCCCATGTCTTGGTCTCTGTTTACTGATCCCACCTGAAGCATTTCCTTTTGTCATTCTTGCTGCGGCAGTGGAATAAGATCCTTGAAGGAAGGGGGTTTCCTGCTGTGGTGTGCTTTGAGATTTGTATTTTGATGGTTTTGCTTAACTAGAAACAAGGCCCTGTGGATCTTTCTTACCTGTGATTTTTCAATGTGGTGCTTTTTTGGAAACCGTGTCCAATCCGTTCTCAACTTTTAGGCTGCGTTCTGGGTATGGATGGACAGAATCTGATCGATTTTTATGATGAAAACTTACTTGGCAAGCTCCAGATGTCTCTGTTCCCATAAGACCTTCACTGGTTTGCCAGCATTACTTTGTGCTGCCAGGTCACAACAGCCCATAGAATTATGATGCGTAAAGAAAGGAGAGAAGAAAGGCTGGTGATTGGTTAAGTGGCTTCTCGCATCACAATGGCCTCACTTCATAATCACCTGATTGTTGACATCAACCTGGCACAAGCGACAGTAGCAGAGAGTTCCAATTGTGGGGAAGTTGTAGAAGGAGCAGCATTTGATAGTTGGTGGCTGGAGTGAAAAATATTGCTTAGTTGGCAAGATGGCAATACAGTTTGCCCTGTGTGACATGTGCCTTTTGATATATATGTCTGTGTATGAGAAAGAATTCAAAAAAATATCTGTGTTAGTCTGGGAAATCAGTATGCAAAGAGATCTTATAGCACCTTTGAGACTAACTGAAAGAAGTTGTAGAATTCAAAGATAGAGCCGTGTTAGTCTGTAGAATCAGTATGGAGAGATATCCTGTAGCACCTTTGAGACTAAAGAAAGAAGTTGGTAGCATGAGCTTTTCTAGACTTAAGTCTACTTCCTCAGAAGTCTAGGAAAGCTCATGCTGCCAATTTCTTTCTTTAGTTGGTCTCAAAGGTACAACAAGATCTCTCTGCATACTGAAAGAAGTTGGTAACATGAGCTTTTCTAGACTTGAGTCTACTTCCTCAGATGTGTATGAGAAAGAGAGAGAGAGAGAGAGAGGGTGGGTGTGTAACTTCAGCTTTTCCCAGCCTGGTGCCATCCATATACAGTGTGCCTTTGGTATCCACTGGGGTTTGGTTCCAAGACCCTCTGTGGATACCAAAATCTGTAGATGCTCAAGTCCCATTAAATACAATAGTATAGTAAAACATGAAAAATTGCTGTTTTGTGCAGATTTTGCATGGAAAACCAGGTGCAATGAATTTTGAAGATTGTAGGGGCTACCAATTGGTGTAATTGCCAACTGCATGGCCATTCATTAAGTAATCTGCCTGGAATAAACAGTGGGCTGGTTATCTGGGCCAGCTCAATTAGACTGCTATAATAAAATATACTAGGGTCTGTCTTTGGAAAATATTTGGAAACTACCACAAGTACAAAAAAATGGTACACTAACTATGGTCTTATGTGCACTTCAGAGGCTGTACACTGCTGGCCTTGAAACAACTACAAGGACTATCACACAGGGGGGAATTAGGGAATTAAAAAGTCATTTTCCTGGGACAGTTGCACCATCATGGCTAAGATTTTCACACACACTGCGATCTGAGAGGACTTATCCCGGGAAGAGCCAGAAATGTTCCAGCAACAAATCATTCACGGTGAAATCCTTTCAGATTGCAATGTCGTGTAAAAATCTTAGCCGCAGTTGCCCCAGGAACTGTCCCAGGAAATGATTGTCCCAGGAAAATGCCTTTTTAATTCTCCAATTTTCCCTGTGTGATAGTCTCCTACCCTAGTTTACAGTTTGTTGCTGTGCCCAATTTAAGGTGCTTTTGATCCACATACCCACCAATTGCCCCAACTTGGCAGAAATAGTCATTAATCCTCTGCCATCCCACTTTTTCAGCTGCATTTAAAATGTCTTGGTTTCTCTCTCCTTTCCCACTTTCCCTCATTAACCTCAGCTTACTTCAGCTGGTGCAAACTAAATTCAAGGTACAAAAGTAGTTTGCACTCATTAAACTCATTAGTGGGGCCAGGAAAAAGATACAGACATACACATATCCATGAAGCTGTTACTCTACATATGGAGGCCAAGAACAGAGGGAGTGGAGAAGGGGATGTGGTCTTCTCCTCTTGTGGTTATGTAAACTGAATAACATCATGTCTTACAAGGGTTAAACTTCTCTTTGGCCACATCAGGATTTAAATTAAGTTTACCAGAGATGGGAAAATTATGTGGGAAAGGGTTCAGGTGTTTAGTTAATAATTAATAACCCAAAAAATCTAAAGACATAGTTTGGAAAATCAGCATGCAAAGGGATCTTGTAGCACATTTGAGACTACTGAGAGAATGTGGTAGCATCACTCTCAAAGCTGCTACAAGACTTGCATACCAAAATAGTTCAGTTCCATTTATGTTAGAAGGATGGTTTTAACCCTTGTTGCCATATACATTTAAACTAAAATCTGTGCTAAAGCTTTTATTAAAGGTAGTCCCTTGACATGAGTGTCTAGTCGTAACCAACTGTAGGAGGCAGCGCTCATCTCCGGTTCTAAGCTGAAAAGCCAGCGTTGTCCGAGGACTGCTCTGGTGGTCATGTGGCTAGCAAACTGCTAGGTTGGCAGAAGCTGGGACTAGTGATGGGAGCTCACCCCATCATGCAGCACCCAGACCTTGAACTGCCAACCGTCCAATCTTCCAGTCTTCAGAATTGGCATCTTAACCACTAAGCCCCCACACCCCAATTACAAGTTGAGTTTTCCTTATCTGAAATGCTTGGGACCAGACATGTTTTGGATTTTAGATTTTTTTTAAAAAAAATGGTTTTTAAAATACCTGTATTTGCAAATATGTACATAATGTACATAATATACATAATGTTGGGGAGGGGAACTAAGTTTAAATATAAAATTTATTTATGTTTCATATATAACTTATACACATAGCCTGAAGGTAATTTTATTCAATATTTTAAATATTTGTGTGCATGAAACAATATTTGTGTATGTTGAACCATCAGAAAACAAAGCTACTATGGCTTCACATACGACGCTCTGCGCCATCTTGGAGGCAGGGAAGGGGAGGGGCAGCCACACGCCGGGTGCCCCAACCCCACGCCGAAGACGTCATCATGGCGCGTGCCGTTATGCACGGTGCGCGCTGTCAGGACGTCATCACAGCGCAGCATCTTAATGCGCTGCACTGGAAGAAGCGCAGAAGAGCTGTGCAGCAGCTCTTGGGGCGGCCTATTTGCCACCTCTGAAAGGAGCGTCGTTTTGGCACTCTTTTCCAAGGTGGCAAAAGGGAGGATCAGGGCCGACGTGTTTGGCAGCCTTGGCCTCGATCCCCATTTCCCGGGGCAGCCCATGGCTGCTCATCTGCATCCCCCTATCTCAGCTACTCATGCCACTTTCATTTATTTATTTATTTTAGTATTTCAGTATTTCAGATTTTGGAATTCCAGATAAGGGAGACTCAACCTGTATAGTGAAGATGAAAAATGTCATCCGTGACTTTACTCCATTCTCCATCTCTGTTCTGAGCATTGAAGAGATGGAAACAACTACAAAACCCTCACTATTCCCAAAGAGGCCAAGATTGTTCTTATGCTGTGCCTTTGGGTTTGTTTGCTTTTCACTGTGATTTTATAATTAAAGCCAAATTAAAAAAAAAAAAAGGAAAGGAGTAAAAACAAGCATGGCAAAAGCACACATGCGCTGAAAGGCATGGAAGGCAGGGTTACGAAGCCGGTGCAGAAGGGATCATAGATTGCTAAAGGAGTACACTTACGCAGTTGAAGAGAAGTGTGATATTGAACTTTTTCAAACTGGTACGTTTTCATTTGCTTCACTAATGTGATAGTTGCAAGAAAAAAGCTAATGTGATAAAGTCCTAAGTCAATCAATTAAGCGAAAACCTAAAATTAATTAAATTGTCCCTTTATGTTAGAGATTTTTTATTAGTTTCTGTCAGTTGATTATATGTTTCATATTTCTGTAGAAGAGTTGAACTCTTACAAGGTATTCTTCTCAGAGCTTGGCAGTGTTACTGAAGACGCTAATACATTAATGTTACTTTTTACCATATGTGAGCAACAAGCAGATTTACACATTTGTAATTCATTACTAATAGTTACCTTTTCAAATTAATCTCTTTAGTATACAAGGATACCCAAACATCCTCCAAATAATAGTCAAAATAACATTTGGAAGTAATGTCATTCACCAAACACAAATGTAAGATATTAGTAGACCTTTCATTATTCTTCAAGGTTCAACTGTTGCCATTGTTGTCCCTTCCCCCACCCAATAATATGTCTCAAGTAATTATTATTTTTTATGGTAAAGCATTACTTCATTGTTCTGGGTCAATTTTAGTTTGACAAGTTCCTAATTTAGCTCTTTTCTTTAGATTCTGGAAGCACTCTCCTTGGTTCATTCATATTTTTCAGAGAAACTTCCAATAAATTGTTAAAGTTAAAATACTTAAATTCAAACAGTTGTTGTTCCAGTAAGATGTCTGAAAAATAGTAATAATAGCCAGACTCTCTCTCTCTCTCTCTCTCTCTCTCTCTCTCTCTCTCTCTCTCTCTCTCTCTCTCTCTCTCTCTCTCTCTATATATATAATCAGTTTGAAAAAACAGGAGTTTTTTTTTAAAGTTATTAGGTTTAAAACAGAAGCCAATGTAGTGTAGTGGTTTAAGTGTTGGACTATTACTATGACTCTGGAGACCAGGGTTCAATTCCCAGCTTGGCCAAGAAAACCACTGGGTCACATACTCTCAGCCTCAGGGGAAGACAGTGGCAAACATCCTCTGAACAAATCTTGGCAAGAAAACCCATGATAAGTTCGCTTTAGGGTTGACATAAGTGGGAAAGGACTTGAAGGCACATAACAACAACAATACTTGAAATGGGACAATATTTTCATACTATGAATTTGGCTTGTAACTTGTAATGCATGTCCATACATATACCTGCAGTCATCTTCTTCACTTCTCTTATCTGAAAATACCCCGCACCCCTATCTCTATCTATAGAATAGTTTCACTATCTTGGTCCAAAAATATCTGTTTAGTATCTGGAATGAGGAGAACCAGCATGGCATAGTGGTTTGAGTGCTGGACTATGACTCTGGAGACCAGGGCTCAATTCCCTGCTCTGGGTAATCTTGGGTGAGTCACACTCTCTCAGCCTCAGGGGAAGGCAATGGCAGACCCCTCTCTGAACAAATCTTGCCAATATAACCCCATGATAGGTTCACCTTAGGCTCTGCATAAGTCAGAAACTCCTTGAAGTCATACCGCAACAACAGGAATAAGCTCTGAAATATATAAAATGTTTCTGAGCATTCCCAGAATGCCTCTTTCTCACAATGGAATAACCTTTCTGGTAGCTTCTAATTGCTCTCCTAGGATCAAATCCAAGCTGTTTCCTTTAAAGCTCTCTACAGTTACTTAGTACACCCCCACCAATACTGTTCATCTTTTTCTGTTCCTCCAAAGTCAAGTTGCCCCTTCTGTCAATTTCTCGCTGAAGCCTTCTGCCCTTTGTTTCTACTGTGCTGCAGGTGTTTCCTTGCTTTAATGTTTTATTTATTGTTAATATTCTATCTCCTTCTTCCCCAGAGGAGCCCAGCATGACACACAGTTATTCTCCCCTCCCCATTTTCATTCTCATAACAAGCCTAAAAGGTAAGCTAGAATTAGTGGGTAACCCAAGCTCAACCAGGGAGCGTTGTGGCTAAGTCCAGATGAGAACCAGGGTCTTTCTGATTCTTTTCCAACTCTCTGACTGAGGACCGGGCAACTCTGGGGAATCTAAGGGTCAATTTTCTACCTCTCACACCCATATTATGGGTCATATTCCCTCTTCCTGTTGAAAGAAGAAGTGACTGGAACCCCACCTCCAGTTAAAAAATAAACCCTCTCCTTAAAGAAAACAAGGTATGCATAGGGTTTTATATTAAAAATGGAGCATGATTCTTCAGGTTTTAACAAAACAAGAGTGGGTTCCAGGAGCGATAAAAAAGAAGGGGCTATGCAACCCACAGGCCACATGTTATCCACCCCAGTTCTAAGCACTACATGACACTCGTTCTCACCTCTGTATGTCAGCTCCTTTTGAATTATGTTTGATAGGGGAAAATATATTATTAATCCAAATAAATACCTAGATTGATTGATTCCACACAGTTAAAGCAACTCCCCTTCCCCTCTCCTCCCAAGTTTTTCTGCAACAGTACCTTCTTCAGTAAAGCTTTTGCCAAATTCCCTCTGACTTTATTTTTGGTCAATGACATACAAATGACATAGTCAGCCTCTGATCTTTAAATCAAAGCATGGACTATGGCCACCCTCTGTATAATATCACTTCATATCAATACTTCATATCAATGACTTTAGTTCTGCAAGACAGGGCCCACCCAATAAATGCTACTGCCTGAAGCAGAGCAATAAATGCTCCTCTCTTTCCCCAGTTTGAGGTGCATAGCATCCAAAGGTGACCAAGATATTTTGGCACCTGAGACAGAAAACCCCATAAGCATCTCTCCTCATTCCAGGTCTTTTCTGAACAGGCCAAAATGTCCATCCCCACTTCTGGCATTGTCCTGTTCAGACAATGCACAGCACAAACTCCAGTTCTGGTGTGAACACCTTGGACGGTATCTCAGCATCTTAGTTCAGCACCACACCAGGGGGATAACAACCTTAATATGAATTTTAAAGTCTACCACTTACTCCAGATCTTCCTGGAAGATCCAGAGCCCTGTGAGTTGCCCTGTGAGGTGCCAATCATTTGCTCTGAGGTCAGAACGAGGCACCCAGCCATGTGATCATCTTTGGGCACCTCATTCTGATGCCAAAAGTGAATGATCCACCATGGTGGCGGACATGCTGGGTGACTCCTCAGATCACCTGTGTGAACAGCCACTAAGGCATGGAAATGGAAGGCCAGGAATGGGGAGGAGGTCAGGGCAGCTATGAAGCCAGGATACGCCGGGATGCCCCCGGAGTATCCTGGCCTACGCGGACAGGGCCGCATAGTATAAAAATACAATAACAATACAATAACCACAGGTTTGCTATCCTTCCATTAAATCCATAATCTGCTGCCTTTGATTTCTGTAGTGAAATAGGCTTGTGTGTGATTAGTAAGGTATTCCAGTAAGATTGACCATATGAGCAACTCTGCAATCGCAATATTATTATTGAAAAGCTTTCCACCATTTTGTCGGAAGTTAGGCTGGTGCATGGTGCTACTGTCTGTGTTGGCCTGGCTGTATTAGGGATTCTGGGAGATTCAGGGGACCTCTGACCAGGATATCTACCTTATCTATTTATCTATCTTGTAATGAACCTTTAGGGGAGGAAGCTCTGTTCCCTTTGTCCGTTGATGCTGTTTGACTGTCTACCAAAGACAAAAGGTTGGGGGAAGGATATGGGAATTGTTGTCCAAAGCTGGGCAGCTGGTCACTGCAGGGTCCTTGCTGTACCTCCTGTTTTTGTTAATTAGGCCTTAGGCAGAGGAGGGGCACGAACGAGGCTTGCGCTTTTTTGTCTCCTTGGATAAGGATTGGGGGGAAAATGAGAGGAGCTTGGCAGAGAGATCCTTATAACGCAAGAGCTCCTGCTGTGTGGGTTGGCCAAGCAGGAGGCCTGTGCTTCTCACGCCATGCTCCCCAAGATCCATTAGCCTCCTCTCTTTTGTCGACAGCTGGCAAAGGCACTCTGCAAGGCTCCAACTCCACTGGGAGGGAAAAATCACACCAGTAAAAGCCAAATCTTGCCTCCATAGTGTTCTGCAGATTAAATGCACTCAGCTAGCCCAAGACAACTTTGGGCTCTTGAGAAAGAAAAAACCCAAAGAGTTCCTGCCATCCTTTTCTCTCCCCACCCAACCACAATATCTAAAACTGGGAGTTCAAGTGGGTACTGACTACCAAATGAAAAACTGTTATTAATCACCTGCTTTTCAGTGGATCATTTGACAGACTGATTAAATAAATATAAATGTGTATGTCTCCAAAACCTTTTAAATGTGCATGTCGCCAAATCCCTTGCCTGTGTGTCTTTCACAGATATTGGAAGGTGTGCGAGATACCTTACAGTCTAGTTTACAAAATTATTCTACTTGCTTGGAAAGAAATGCCATCTTTAACCTTTCCTTCTTTTTTTAAATTCCCTGTTTGAGTGGCAAGGGGGGAAAATTACAATGCATGCCATTATATTTGTCTTTACAGATTATAAAACTAACACACACACACACACTGTCGATTAATCAACTAATGTTTCAGATGATTAATCTATCAATGCATGGTCACAGTGTCTGCAGAAGTTATGTAACTTGAATTACATTCATTTTGTCTCCAGTTAGCAGTAATCCAGCACTGTGACTTGGAACAGCTGCCTCATCCTGCATGTTATGGATTTGTCTCCCACACTCTTCCCCCTTTTTTCTCTTATAAAACTCTAAAATGTAATGTGGAATGGTGGTGCCATATAAATAATGCATGTTAATAATTGCTGCTTAGAATGCACTACAACTTTAACACTGAGTAACTCAGATAGTGGAGCACTAATCCATATAGGACATAGGATTTGCTGCATTCTGCACAAACAATATATGACATTTACTGAAATGCAAAAATTAACCACTGCAAATGCACCCCATTTTGTTGTTGTTTTTAAAATCAAGGTAAGGATGAGAGAATACAGAAAGTTCAGGATAGTAACAGAGAGTGAAATGTGGAAAACATGGAAACAAAGAGCTGTCAGTATCATACCATCTAACATTTCATGGATAAACACTGGGAAATGTGTGGCCAAGCAAGATCAGAGTGTGGTCAAGATATCAAAATATACTAACGAGTAAGAAGAGACTATCTAGGAGAGGCTGCCACAGTTTGCTTTTGCCTGAACCTACTGGGAAGGGCAAGATTCTGCCCTTCCTCTCCCTTCTGCTGATTTAATTGAATGTAAACTACTTTTGCACTTTGAACTCAGTTTTCAGCAACTGAAATAAGCAGAAGACAAAAGGGGAAAGTGGGAGGAGAAGAGAGAAACTAGGACATTTTAAAAGCAGCTAAAAAAGTGGCACAGTGAGGATTAATTTTAATTGTCCCTGCTAAATTGAAAGAGTTGGAGGGTATGCTGCATGAGTGGGATGCAGAGTCGGATTAAGACATGCTGTGATCCTGAGATATACCAAATGTAGGCATCGCAGAGCTACCAAGTCGTGTTTTCTGTTTAAAAACCCCTCATAATCTAAGGCCCCAAACTGTAGATTATTTAGTTTATGCCTAAATCTGCCTTGTGGTGAGTTATTTATCTATGGCAGGGGATCGCAATCTGGCTCCCCTCTTCTTTCCCAAACTACTAATTGCTTTTTTCAAATCTTCAATATTGGGGCACCCACAGTGCTGCTAAGATTAATATGTTGTGGTTTGATAAGGTGACAAATGTTTAAATGGCTACTCATCCATGAATGTCATTCATAGATCACTTTGAGCATTGTATCACTCCAGGACAAACATGTCTGCCCCATTTTCATATGGAGGGGTGGAGGAAAGGCAGTGTACAGTTTACATCTGGATGAGAATTCTGTGGTTCTCCCCACAGTTCTGGGCACCACAATTCAAAAAGGATGTGGAGAAACTGGAGAGTATCCAAAGGAGGGCAACTAAAATGGTGAAGGGTCTGGAAACCAAGCCCTATGAGGAAAGACTTAGGGAGCTGGGAATGTTTAGCCTGGAGAA